CGAGAATTGTAGTTTATAAAATTCGAGCAGGTCTGCAGTTTTAATTGTCTAACATCGAAAGGATTACAAAGAGTTACATGTCGTTTTTTCGAATTACGAATTACTTTTCGTTTTTCGTTTATTTCTTCGTATGAAGAAAGACACAGATAAGAAGTCTTAACTTTTTAAGAATACGCAAAACTCAGCAGATAATTGTCGATTGTACAAATAGTGTTGTAAAAACACGCTCGGTTCGGGACCACCGGCCGCGCTAGCACGATGGCCGTTCCACGCGTCCTGCTTTCTCCCACTGCTGTGCGGCTATGCCGCCCTGGTACTTTCGCATCGAACATCACCTTATTACTATTTATTTTCTTACTTGAATATTTGAAATTCGTACTTAATGTGAATACATAAGGATAGGATAGGAATCCATAGTAAAGGAAATGTAAAATAAAAAAATGTGTGCGTGTACTAGCGTTAAAGTTAAATTAGATAAAGTTTAATAAAAGGCTTTTATTATCATAGACATAAATACAAATTCTACAATTATTTCATTTTAGCTTTATATAATATTTAGTTTCTTATTTGTAATACATAGGTGGCGTTAGTAGTAAATTAAAATACACTATGGTTTGACCGTTGTAATTAGTATGAGGGTCCGCAAAAATTGTTGATCAAAAAACTTGCAACTTGCGTCCTTCGTTGCCGAATAGTCAGCCAGTGAGTAGAAGGCAGACATTCGACTCGCGCGCGAGTGTTGTGAAGTTAAGTTTTTTTGGAAAACCGAACTTGCGGACGTTGGATCGACGTCGCAACCGCAACCGCAAGTTCCAGGAGCCGATCGAGGCTTCGAAGAGCATCATCGGTCAGCTTCAGATTGTGTCTTCGGTGGAAGGCGCAGTCAGGTCACGGTGGGCGGTGCCTGCCTTTGGAGGAGAAGAAGTCTCTAGCACTGTCATTACTACAAATATTATTATTGAATTTCATTAATTGTAATAGAATTATTACTATCATTGATGTCGTTATTATATATTTGTGTTATTAATGGCTTAACTGAAATACGATAATAAATATATTGTTTACATTTTAGAATTAGAATTAAAATAAACCCTTTGATTTTGCTGATCACTTTAATATTACATATATATATATATATTGTTATGAACACACAAAGGAACTAACGCCATATAGCGTCAACTATTAAAACCACAACAACAAGATGGCGCGTAACGCAAAAATGTTACACTAAATTTTTTTCCAACCCCGATAAAGAAGTTTCACTTCAAAAACACACATTTACATTATAAAATTAATTCAAATTATCACCAACTTAAAACATTATAATAAAACTTAAGTACCTAAACGAGTTTGCATCTAGTCAAACGTTGAGATCGAATCTTGGTTTGTTTTAGAAATTAATTTAGAAATAGGGGCTTTGGAGCTGATTATTCAGTGTGATTTTAACCGCGATAAACAATTTATTAAACCAGATAACTATTATGTTTGTGTGAAAGTTATTTGAAAATAAATTCAGTCAATTCTATACATCGCAATTACGTTAAAGTATCATCATAATCGTCAACCCATATCAGCCCACTGCTGGGCAAGGCCTCCCTCTTCCGCAATTCATCCCTGTCCTGAGCGGATCGTTCAAGTATACTTACTTCAATAATGATTCCAATAATTACACGAAAAGTATGCGAGTTGCACGACGTAGGTAGTTTTTTTTTTTATAATCACAAACTCGACGGTCTACCCACCATCTCACACATTTTTTTCACCTGACGATAAGTGGTGACCATATATATCGTTTATGGTAATGCGACCAATTCAAACTACTGCCGTTGACACAACAATAACAGATTGGAATGAATTGGAATGATAGACTAGATAAGTCTTCATCTAGTCTCTTATTTCTGAAATCAATGGTGAGCACTGTCACTAATAATTGCTAACTGTTCAAAATATAAAAAAGCCCATTTTGCCCGTCCCACTCCGGCACGTCTATTAAGACTACAGAAATTAATAATTATTAAGATCCTGTCACGTTGCTGTGCTGGCGAGCATCTGTTTATTGTAATCTAGCTAACTCAGTCAGTAAACACCAACTGAGCCTTAGAAGGAGGGATCACATTTAAGAAGTGCTATGGCAATTTAAATTAATAACTTATGCACATTAAATCGTTATTGGTAAATTAATTCAACTTACCCGATCATTATCTTCGTGTTTTAATTGGAAATGTCATCCACAAAAACATGTTTACTTTTTAAATGCAATAACAGTATCACTTTACTACGGCCGCCGGTGGAAATCCCAAACGAAAGTTGATAGAAACCGCCATCTCCACGTATCCCATGTTAAAAAGTATCCCGGCTGTATTTGCTGCCCTTGTTTAGTGGCCATTCGGCTGATGATGATTAGATTTCTCGCCTCGGACTTGAGCGTACAGTTAAAATAATCTACGTCAAGTAAAATTGTTATAATGGGTTATTACACTATTCCAACTATCAAAAGTTATTTATTTAAGTAGAAAACAACGATAGTATAAGTAAGTATTACTTTAGGAAAACTGTTAATTCGGGGCTTGTACTTTTGTTTGTTTGTCTTTCATAAGGGTAATTTTCGTTTCAGTAGCTTCAAACATAAACATACGTACAGACAATTAAACTTCTTGTTTCTAGTTGACACTTGTCTGAGGCCAGTTGGCACATTCTACAATAGTTTTGAGCGTGTTAAAAAATCGGTTACCGAAATAGTGAACAAACTCGGTCAAAGTGCTGACTTCGAACCTGCGACGCTGCTCCTGTGCAATGGGCACTCGCCGAGTTTGATGGAACCAACAAGAATGAAGTCGCCAACACGAATGGCCATTCGTGTTGTTCAACAATTTTACAACAAAACAGGTGTCGTTCAACAATTTTAGTTTTATACAAGCAGATTTCTAATCTATAATAGTAATCAATTGCAGAGTTCTAATGTATAATTAAATCATACGTTCACGAGAGGTCAAAAAACCATCTATAGGAGACCTGGGCGATTGTACCATTGTAACTTTTACAACATATAATACTAGCTGACCCGGCATAAGTTGTTTTGCCATATAAATTATTTATAGGGTAGAAAAAAATGTCTGGGGTGGGTCTGGGACCACCCTTAACATTTAGGGGGATGAAAAATAGATGCTGTCCGATTCTCCACCCTGGCCGATATGCACACAACATTTCACGAAAACCGGTCGAGCCGTTTCGGAGGAGTTCAATTACAAACACCGTGACACGAGAATTTTATATATTAGATTAATTACATACGTGCAACCAATGACGTTTAATAATATAGAGGCATGTCTGTGCGGCGTTTAAAAATTGATCCGCTTTACGTTGTTTGACATACTAGCGACCCGCCCCGGCTTCGCACGGGTGTAATGTATTGTACATATAAACCGTCCTCTTGACTCACTCTATCTAATAAAAAAAACGCATCAAGATCCGTTGCGTAGGTTTAAAGATTTAAGCACATAGGGCAGACAGACAGCGGATGACTTTGTTTTATACTATGTAGATAAGTATGATATATGTGAATGTGACAGATATATTATAGATTCGGAAAGAAGGAGAGCAGTGTATAGAACTACACCAATTGGTGTAATTTGAGCGCCTCAATTTCGGTGCGCCACAACATACAACAACATAAAGTAATTAGTCTCAGGGAAACCGAATTCCGTAATTACAACACGAATCTTAGTTCGTGTAATTTAAACACGTTTATTGGGTATAACGTGCGACACGGCTTAATAGGTCACGTTGCCGTTTCGCGTCACGCTGTGCGGGTTCGATGCCCACTCGAGAATAATTTCTGTTCTCCATAAATAGTTGTATCGCGTCATGGGTCGCATGTTTGCGAACCCTCCGGCTACCACGTGATACCCCTTGGGCGGGTTGATGAAAACGTGGATACACTCGTATTTTTCCTGTCGCGTAATTTATTTCGAAACTTTAGCAAACGTGCTCGCGGCTGAGTCGTAACGAGGTTAGTTGTTGACTTGTTTCGCAAGACGCTCCTGGAAACCTCCAACTAATCTATTAACGGTCGTGAATTCGTTCTTTAAGAATCCGTGTAAGTACCTCTTAGCCTCGTGACCAGAAATCACTAGCAATGCGGAGTCGCGTTTCGTAATACAAATATTTGGAATTGCTCACGAGTGCGCCGCGCAGTTGCTCAGCTATTTGCTTTGGGGTCGTGGGTTCGAACCCCACACGGGACATGTACATGTGTGAACCACAAAATTTGTTCCGGATCTGGGTTCCGTATACGGTGGTAGGGCCACGCAGCAGCCTCGTTTGTTGCACGAATGGGCAGGCTCGTCCGGGTAAGTACCACGACCTCACAGAAGACCGGCGTAAAGTGGAAGTATAAAAGTTCCGGAGCCCAATTTTCAAAAGGTTGTCAACGCACCTGGAACCCTCGGGTGTAGCAGATGTCCATGGGCGGTGGTATTAACTTAACATCAGGTGAACCGTCAGCTCGTTTGGCAACTTTTCACATAAAAAAAGTCGCGCAGGCGGCAGGTGAATAACCTAGCGAAAACCGCTTACAACTTGATACAGATGTTGTGCCGAGCCCACCTAGGTGGGATAAGGGCGGGGCGATGGTGATGATTTGGAAATACTCACCCCGAACTATAAATGCTGCGACTAAAATTCAAATTACCAACTGATAACAAACTGAACTTTTAAGTAGATATCCCTGAATATCGTAGATTTCGATGATTTTCTCAAAGTATACCTATTCATATAGGCTGCCAAAAGTGGCGCCTTGATATATAATCATTGTTTAAAAGACGACGTAATAATTCACAATCGCTGTACTAATTACTCTTTATCATAGATTAATAAATTCAGACGAATTGTGAACTCTTATATTCCTATATTTGGAGTTGCATTACGCGCATAATACCCGTATGGTAATATATCATCCCGATGTTCTTCGTATCCCGATGTTTGTACTTAAAAATTGGCGTATGCTCGACTATCGATCTGATGGCCGCCGCAGAGCAAGGCTATGGTAAAACAAGCGAGTTATGTAAAAATTAACGCCCGAGTAAAATGTAACTCAATTTAAATAGAAAACGTCGGCGACGGAATTATCTTTCGTGTATCTAATGATTCTCCTCGTGAGCCACGGCGGATCTCGCTTAGTACGCTGAAAGTTGGGCGAAGGTAGGCGCGTGCACTCCATATAAGCAAAAAAGTGTGTGTGTACTTACGTACACACGTATGAAGTTATACTTCTTTAGCGTGACAAAAGAAAAATAACCAAAAATTTTATCCCATGGCCGGTACTCTTTGTTTGGGGAAGAAACATTACAATGCAATTTATAACGGTTTAATTTAATACATTGGTAATAACTGTATTTACAATCTTAAATATATTCATGTGTTGATAGATTAAATCTATCTAAAATTACATATTATCTAATAAACCTAATCCACGCGGCATGGTGCCAAGAACGCTAGCTACATTTCCTCGCTGAATAGTTATGCTTAACCTTTGAGCGAGAAAAGAACCAGCTCTCTTGTCACCAGCCGCGGCGTTAAGCCTACCATATAAACTTTTAAAAAATTTTGATGTGCGGGGACCCCACGGACCTTGGTTAGTTATATGTAAATGTCAAAGAGTTGTTATTGGTTGCCATGGTGATACCGTGAAGTTGGTAGCTTTGCAAACAACTTGATCGTGTCGCTTTTTGACCGTCGGTGCGGGTGCCATCGTAAAAACTTCACTCACATAATGTTTTCCAAACGCGCCCAAAGAAGTACCTATAACTTCAAAAAGCTCCGCATACTCTGTTATCCCATACATACGTGTCCTATAACCAGTTGTAATAGTGTTATATTTTGTTTTTTGGCTCAATCAAAAACAAACTTAAAATCTCACGGCCTCTTAAAATGCAATTTTAGATATCATTTAAATGACCTGGTTATTAACAATCCCTTAGAGGAATTTGTAAGGTTTATTTAATACATAATTATGCCGTCTGAAATCTCTGTACACGCCATTGCGTGTTTTGTTCTCTGATACGGAAAATTGTCTGCATGGACAAAGCGACATTATTTATACAAAAATGCGAAGGAAATAAGAGTAGCTATACGTATTTCAGTGGGCATTGTATAGCCGGTTGCAATTTCCTTGGCACTGTGTAAAAAGTGAAGTAAATCAACGGCCTATATAAAAGTCCCACTGCTGGGTAAAAGCCTCCTCTATATATGTATACAATAGGACTATGCCCTGATACCCTGTCGGGTATCAGGGCATAGTCCACCACGCGGCCCCACTGCGGATGGCAGACTCCACATATATTCGAAAATTTCTTTTGTTATTATTTCGTAAGTATGCACGTTTCTTCACGACGTTTTCCTTCACCGCTGAGCACGTGAAAAGTCAGCATTTAAAACTAAAAATTTCGTTGGCGCCGGCACCGGGGATCGAACTCGGGTTGCTCGAGTATATTGAATTGAAAGAGAGCGCCCGGAGAGCTGTGAGCTTAAATTAGTCAATGTTGTAAATCGTTTCGTTTTTCCGTCATTAACAATTACACGACGAAGAACGCGGACGCGGAACTGACTTGCATTCTTGAGCCCGTGCTCAGTTAGTAAGGTCCACTCTAATAAAGCCACTCGGAGAGGGACGTTAAGTTTTTGTTATATCAAAAGGTTGCGCGGACAATCGGTTACGCCTGATGTACCGTGATTCTCGTCGCTTATGGACATTGCATATGCGTTGCTGCGCTTAAAAGTATGAGTTTGCACTTCAACTCGGTCTTCCATAAGACAGCGGTGCCATGGCTCATCCTCGTCAAGTCTCGAGAAAAGCAAAATATGTTTTACAAGTTCTCTAATAACTAAATACTATTTTAAATGATTTTTTCCCAACAGTACTACAGTGTTTTAAAGTAAATTTTTCCATTAGCACTAATCGTGAACAAAGTAGGTACTCGTATGTCACTTCGTAGGCACTTCCGTATCCCATTTTGCCCCGAGTTAAAATTATCATTGAGTACTTTATCTACATATTAAAATATGTAGATAAAGTACGAAAAGATTGTCTCCGTTGTGGGAATCGAACCCACGTCTTCGGCATTCGCGGCCTGACGCTCTAGCCACTGAGCTAAACGGCTGATTGTCACACCGACGAAAATCTTAACGTCTAAGCTCTCTAGCTAAACATAACTTGATGAAACTCTTGAAACGATTAACCGTTGGAAGGTAGCTTTAATAAATAAGAAAGAAATCTGCATTGAATTTTCAATGAAAAGCTTGAATTGTAAATGTAATTTATTGTCTGGGTAGTGCTGTGACCTTTATTTTTATTTTACATGAAGCTAATATCAATTTTCAACTAATGAATTTGTTAACATAAACATAATTTGTTTTATACATTAGGTAGTATATATTCCGTTTATACATTAGGTATTATAATTAGTAACATTAATAAAGATAAAGTGGCTAATATTACTTTTCTGAAGGACCTGCGAAGCGCTATGTATTATTTCCCAAACTGTTAACACGAAATCATAGGTTATGAAGTATTTGGGTTATTTGTCGCAAACTTTTACAGCAATCTCAATAAACTCGAAGGCCTGCATTTGCCACCGCCATTTGCCAGTTAGGGCAGGTCGTGCCTCAAGTGTGCGGCTGCGGTGCGGCACGGAGGCGGCGTCGGTGCGGCGGCGGCGCGGCGCGGAGTCGGCGCGGCGGGTGCGCGCGCGCCGCGGCCGCTGCGGGGCGGCGGCGCGGCGGTGGCGGGGCGGGCGGCGGCGGCGGGCGTGGCGCGAGGGCGGCGCACGGCGCCATTCGCCGCGGCCGGCGCCCCGCCCCCGCCGCCGCCGCCACCGCCGCCCCGCCGCCCCGCACGGGCCGTGCGGCCACCGCTTCGCTCAGTGCTTCGCGAGTCGTCGCCCGCGTCGCACGCGTCGCGAACACAGTTACGCACACAAGTACGCGCCGTTGCAGATGCGAGCACGCCGCCGCTGAAGCGATGCCCGCCGAGGAGGAAGCCGCGGCGATGGACGCCCGCGATGCCGCTGACGGCTCGCCGCAGCAGTTCTGCCTGCGCTGGAACAACTACCAGAGCAACCTAGCCAACTGTTTCGATCAGCTCCTGCAGACCGAGTCGTTCGTCGATGTGACGCTCGCCTGCGAGGGGCAGAGTCTCAAGGCGCACAAGGTGGTGCTGTCCGCATGCAGCCCCTACTTCCAGACGCTGTTCATGGACAACCCGTGCCGGCACCCGATCATAATCATGCGCGACATAAAGTACTGCGACCTGAAGGCGGTGGTGGACTTCATGTACCGCGGCGAGATCAACGTGTCGCAGGACCAGATCACGGCGCTGCTGAAGGTGGCCGAGATGCTCAAGATCCGCGGCCTGACCGACGTGAGCGGCGAACAGGCCGTGCTGAGGGCGGGCGGCGGCGAGATGCGCGCCCCCAAGAGGCCCGTGAGCCGCGAGACCGACTCCCCGTCGAAGGCCCGCCGCCGCTCCGCCGAGGGGCCCAGCCCGCCCGCCGACCTGCTGCCGCCGGACGCCCCCGCGCCCCTGCCCCTGCACACGGACGACATCGACATCCGCCCCGGCATCGCCGAGATGATCCGCGAGGAGGAACGGGTAAGTGTCACCGCACCACAGCCACAGCGCGCGGCGGCCACCCGACCGCACGCCGCCCCGTCGCCCCGTCGTCGCCCCGTCGTCGCCCCGTCGCGCGCCCAACTTTTCCCGCCGCCCGCCCGCGCGCCCCCTCCGAAAACTTTCCCGCTCGTATCGCGTTTCCTAATTAATTCGTTTCGGGCCCGTCGCTTCGTCGCGTCTAACACCAAAACGGCCGTGTAGGTACCCAAGTTTACCGGAATAAAACTCTGCTACAAAATCCGCAAACAACCGCCACGGAACGCGCCCCTAGCGCCGTGCCGCGACGCGACGCGACTCCAATTTCCCACTTGTCCGTGTTCCGTCCAACTCGTGTGTGTAATTGTGCGACTTAAATAGTCCGCTTGATGCCGCAGGAGTAGAAGGGAGCCTCTCCCGCGCCCCGAGTGGCCGCGCCGCCAACGGCCAAGTGGCGACTTCGCCCGACACGCCGGATCACTTCGGCATTGGCTTGTTTCCTTCGCGCTCATTACCACTGACGCCGCGCTTGTTCCGCACTCTGCGCCGTGCGTCTTATTGTTCCAGCCGTTTGCGCTGTTATGAAATGCTCATTTGCATATTTCACTTAAAAAAATAAAAAACAAGATAGTAAACGAAGGCTCAGTTTAAAAGTATTTATGAAAATTACAAATAAGTATTTTGTATAACAACTATTAAAAATATTAGATCAAATGGAGTCTGCACTAATCCGCTGTACCTCCAATTATTAAATTTGCTCTAAGTTCTAGTTATGAATCAATGAATAAAAATATCGGAGCGCTAATATCATGAAATAATATAACATTAAATACATTTTATTTTATTCAATGGTTTATGGGATACGAAAGACGTACAATTTGACTATAATAAAAAATTTAATGATTTATGGAAAACGTATTTCTATGACGGCACCGTTTAAGAGCAAACATTAAGCGAAACTTTATCATCGCGAGATAGAGCGTTGTATATTGTACAGATTACATTGCGATACGCGAATAAAAACGGCACCTTAAATCATGGTAGGCGCGGCGAGCGGCGTTTAATGCTAAGAGCGACGTTTATTTTAGCGGCGCGCCATTTAAACTAAAAAGATAACATTTTTGCGCGACCGCTTGCTCCCTACCGCTCCCTACCCCCCGCGGTTACATTTATTTCCCTATAATGCATATTCATTTGTCTTCATAACGTACCTCCGTGCGACCTTTGCCCTGCAGTGCTTAAGACTTCGCCTACAACGACCTCAAGGGTCAACCGAATCCCTCCCTAACGGCGGCCGATTGCTTTAATTGGCCAGTTCAATTTGGAAACTTTTTTTTGATACGCCACAAGCGAGACCCTTTGTTTGTGCACAAAATTCATATTAATTGATGCTTAAACCTGAGATATCGTGAAATCTTTCGTTTTTATCCCTTTTCGATGTCCATTGCAAGCATTCAATTTAATTCTGAAGCAAGCGATCGAAGACATAACGCGCAGCGGAATCATGCCTATTGTTATAACGAATGCAGCCTACGGTTTGCGGAACGTGGGGACAACGGCCATCCCTTGAGAGCTCGCGCCGAAATACGGGATTGAGGCGGCGGACATCCGCCGGGGAGTTGCGACGCGGATTCTACACACGGCGGTATACGGCCGCATAGATCACCCCAAACTGGAAGGTTCATTACAGTCGATACAACCTTTTGGAGTTAGTGTTAGTCCGGCGCGTGGTGATTTCGACGTTCCTATTCGGGCGTCTTCATTGTTCACGCGACATTTTCGTCTACTGGCAGAATCGCGTTTGAATATTAACGCCTTCACATTTTTCCTCCGATTTTGTCTCCGCGTTGTTTCTTACTTCGACGTAGTTGTTTTGTAACCTTTTCGCATTTAAAGCGCACCACTCGAAATGTTACAATCGAAGTGATCGCATTTTGTATCTAATTGCGCGAGACTTATAATCAGATTGTCAATCGGTGCTGTTCGTGTTTTATTAAATTGGATACGCGTTATATATTGGCAGTTGATTCGAATAAACGTTAGATATTGTGTGGAATTTCGGGCGATTTTTTATTTGAGAGCTACCAGCCTTTTGGTTTGTTGCAATTTTACATTGCAACGTCTTTTTTTGTTCTAGAGTATTTTCAAAGATTACATTATTTTAATCGTCTTTGTTCGTTGTAAAAGGTAAAGGCCGTTCTAGCTGTAGCTATATGCCGTCATCCCTTTTTTAATTTCTTAAAAGGGACGTTTGGCGTTCGTTGTCGAAAAATAGTTAAGATAGACTTAAAAAAATCGCTTAATATTATATTTTGTTTTAAATATTTGTTGAAGTAAATGAACAAAATTGTATACTTTGTAATAAAGCCTGTTTCGACGTTGATAAAATTTTTTATGATGGTAAGCCTTGCACTTGAGCGGGAGCATCCGAGACCATAGACAATTTGCTTATTTAACATTTCGCGCCAACTCCGCGCCGTTTAGCGAGCTTTCTTTCTATTTGCTTTCTTTCTAGCGTGTTTTTGAATAATATCCCGCTTTGTTTTTCAACTGTAAGTAATGTGTGCTCGTTTTTTTTTTATTTTAGATCTGTGCATTATAAGATGAACGATGTACCAGTATTACATATTTTAAATTATCATGTATTTCTTTTACATATTTTTTATATGATGAGTAAATTAACTTGCCGACTTCCTTACTTTGGGGAATACTTACAAACGTAAAGAAAGATTATAGTCTTGCTTTATTAGCTCTAAATCAGGGGTGAGCAACCTTTTTAATTAATGGGCCAATTTAAATTTCAAATTTTTTGGCGGGCCGCACATAATAATTTAGGAAACTATATTTAGGTATAATAAATATTAGAATAAAATAATATAAAATTAAAAAAGTAAAGATTTCATATACTTTTAATGCAAGGTAAAAACAAACAAGAAAAGAACAGAAAAACGAACAAAAATATTTCGGTTCAGTATGTACTATCATTTTATTATAATTTATTTTATAACAATATATTGATGGGAGATATTCGATAAAATAAATTCAATTTTAGAAATGCTTGGCGGGCCGCATAAATATGTTTAAGGGGCCGCAAGCGGCCCGCGGGCCGCGTGTTACTCATCCTTGCTCTAAATAGTTATATGCTTTTTGGCATATATCATAATCATTTGTATTTTGCGTTTAAGTACAAAACTTTTTTGTTTAAATCAAGTACCTATATTTGAGTTCTCCAAGTTCAAGCCGCAGTTCCGGCACCGACGGTTTCGTTAATTAATTAAATCTAAAATATATTAAAATTGATGAAGAAATATATGAAATAATTAAAACTGATGTCTTATTAATAAATATATCTCAAATATAAGCGAAGTCTGCCAATCCGCATTGGTTCGCACGATCCGTTGCACCCTTTGTCCAGAGGGGGCCTGTGCCCAACGGTGGGACATGTGTAGAACGTTTAAAGATTTAAATTTTTCTCACAAGATATATTTCCAACAGTGTTTCAAAAATTGCTAACGGCCTTAATGCAGACTAGAATAACGATCGCGTATACGAAGGCGTAAGTGTGTGTGCGCTTGTGCATGTGAGCATGTGAGGTTTTTTTTTATTTTTCCCGCCCCGCTATCGGCATTCGCGAAAATCGATCTCCATGATTTCCACTACACTCGCGCGCCGAATAAAATAATCGTACACGGCAAAAGAAAGAAAATACGGGCCGCTGGAAACTCAGCCGCCATTGTTCTAGGCGGGTTGCGGCCATAATCTAGTATTTTCGCGACCAGAACTAGGTCTTTCCAACAAAAGGATATTGTTTCAGCACAATTAGCAATGCAATCGGCACAGATAAGTTAGTGTTTGTGCTATTGAGCGGTTTTATGTGGGGCCCGACGGCGCTGGGGCCGCGCGCTAAGCATTTCATCACGGCGCTGCTTAGATGATTTTATTATATTTAATTGTGCTTTATATTGTATTATTTTAATTGGAGGCGGAGTTTCGTCGCTATGCTAGGATACTGTACTGTTAGCGCCGGGACGAACTCTTTGACGCGTGGTAAAGTCGTTTCTCGTTGTTACATTTAATATGTTAATTTAAAAAAAATGTATTGGTTTATTTTATTGAGGGCTCCGTGGCGCAGTTGCCGGGGTATTGCGTCGGGAGTCTTGGGTTGGATTACCACACGGGGCAACTATTTGTATGACCAAATAATAGTTTCACATGTGGATGTTTGACCAATATATAGGTAGATTGTGTAATTTATATATTGTATTCTAAAAAAAAAAGGTTTTTTTTTATATTAAAAAAAAGATTATTAATATTATGTTTTTGATTATTGTCTTTGTTACGGTTCATAAATAAAACCTTATTATCACGTTTATTATATGTAGTAGGCGTCCATTTCCCGACGCACTTATGTATACGTACAGGAGTCACGTTTCCCCCGCTTCTCTCGCCGCTTCAATAGCTTCGGGAGTTTATTAGCACGGAGAGATTCGACGACAAACAATTTTTATTAATGATGTATCGAAGCTATGGCAGAATTAGATTAGCCCGCGCATTAACACGAATCGGAGACGTAAAGTTGGTAATAGCTCGATATTATATAAAGGTAAAAGAAAGGAAATTGTAATTTTGCCAAGTTAAAAAAGTACCTTTTCCACCGAATGATGGGTCATTTAATAGACTATGCGGAGCCACAGTATATTCTTGATACGCTTGATTAACAGTCTGACTCTACAACACGTAGGTACGTTCCGACGGCCAGGATTTGTTCTAGAATAAATCGAACTCTTATCGCCCGACATGAACTGAACACGTGGTTAATGTTACACATTTTTTTTTCGCCATTTTTACTTACTACTTTTAATTGCGCGCGTTAATTGAAATGAGCGTGTCACGTGCGCCGGCGCGGGGGGCTGTAAAAGTGATAAGGGCGGCCCCTCGGATTGGCGACGCGTTTCATTATTTCGACATGGCTAGCGTTAGAGTCTACTCGTAACATTAACCGGACGGTCATATATTGTGAGCGCCAGTAGAAAAGAGCGCTGTTAAGAGATGACTGAATTGAAAGCGAAATGGAAATGCCCACAACTTGTGGGGATTTTATGATTTAGTCATTTCAGTTTTTACTATGCAAGTCTTCAAAGCTTCAAGGCAAGCGTGGATAGGTTTTTACTGAGGTAGCGCGCTTACCATCAATGGCTGCATCGTCACTTACCATTCGGTGGGATGCTGGCTATATTCGAATTGCTATATACAGGAATTTGACTAGGCTACTGAACACATCTAATTTAAGATTGGAGAATTGTTCATTTCTGATATGGTCTCGAAGAGACAAACAATGATGTATTAACACAATCAAGTCACACGTAACTGAATGTGTAACATTTGTCGGTTTCGTTTTATTTTACTTTGCCTTTGAGTAAGATTTATGCTTGCTACCCAATCGGGTGCATAGTTATGGGTGATAAAACCAACATAAAAGCAAAATGAAGTCATTAAAGATATAGGCTGCGACGCAAATTCATAATTGTACTTTAAACCCACAAAGCTTAGTTCCTCCTTCGGCGAAAAAAGCTACGGCGCTCTGCACAGCGATTGTGGACTCTATCGCGAGCGGAATAGGGTCGCTTGGGTCCCGCGAGCGGATCCGTCATTATCATCCAAACGTAAAGGCTCAAATATTGGAAACAATCGACGTTCATTGCTCGTAAAGATAAGGATAATGATATTTGTAATGGTTGTGAATCAGCATTCGATTCCGCCTCGTTTTCGCGGCCTTTCGTGCACGGGCCCGTGTGACCGAACCCGGTGACGTCACCGCAGGCCGAGGCCCAAGAAGCCTTGCATAATTGAAGTGTTAAGTGGGTCGCATGTTATCGCCTGTACCGTCCCGCCTGTACCTCTAGTTAGGCGCTATTATATTATCTGCCGTCATGTGCCTTCTATATTATCTTCATACTATTATTATATTATCTTCCGCCGCTTATACTTCATGAGTATGTCACGTTACAATACTTGAATTGCAGTGTTACCTTCGCTCTAAGTTTCGAGTTATTTAATTTGACCGAGGCGTTCCGAGATAATAAACTAATAAGGCGACACGAATTGAGGACAAGGTGTCATGTGTGGAAAAAATGATTCGTACTGCAATTTTATACTTAAATAATTTTGTATACATACATAAAAAATACAGAACCGCAGAGTTTCTTTCCGGTTCCTTTCTAGACAGTCAACCGGTGGTAGTTTTTTTGACGTCCAACAAGGTCGTAAAACAAGCATACATTGAATAAAGACATTTTGACTTTGATTTAATTTCGCAATATTGACGTCTTAAACTTGATGTTAATGGAAGAGCCGACGACAAATGGTGATTAAGAAGAGTGGCGGTGATGTTGATGCAGATTTCTTGCCCTAGCTACGCGCGTGGGGCCAGCGCGGGCCGATTGTCGAGTCGAGCACGGCAACGTCCAATAACGGCAAACAATACATAGAATACACCTCGTTCGCAGTTATCGCGGAAATTAAAATCATAATATTTAATATCGCGCCCGCGTACATACCTACGGCGCTTATATATTCGTTTGGCGACGCAATTAATATTTATTCGTGCGCGAAATTAAAAAATATATAGCGGCGATTGCCGAGCCTCGCGGTGTTGGGAA